TGCCGCAGCTGCGCCGGGGACGTGGGCGCCTCGCTGTCGGCGACGCGCAGGCAGCCCTTCCTGCTCGCTCTGCCAAGGCCCCAGCCCCAGGCTGGGCTCTCCCCCGGCTTTTGTGGCACTGGTGCGGCCTGGCAGCCCAGGGTGCTTCAGGCCTGTCCTGTACGAGGTTCTTGCTGGAGAACTGGGCGCCTCTGTCTCAAAGGGGACAGGATGTAGTACAGCTGGCCGGGGCCCAGCGAGAGACAGGGCCAGGGAGCCCAGAGTCCTCCCATGTCACTTGGCTGGGCCCCGGGGGTTTGGCTGTTTGGGGAGAAGCGGGGTCGAGCTCAGTCTCTGGTCTGGAGACTTCTTGGAGGCTCGGGCAGTGCAGCATGTGGGTGACTTGTGGCTTTCCCTGCTCTGGCCTCCTAAAATGAGCTGGGGCTCAGTGTCCTGCTTAGGTTTGCCTTGTCTGAATCTCCCTGGCCTGCACCCACGAGAGAGGAAAGTCCCTTGTAGGGCCCTCCTCTGCGTTAAATGCCTTTGAAGTGGAGAGGCCCTAAAGTCAGTCCTGCCTGTCTCAAACCACAGCGAGGAGGCAGGCAGGTCCCTCCTTGCCCCGCTCCTGCCTGTCTCGGGGCTAGATGAGGACTGCGAGTGCGGTTTGTGAGGTCGGGAGGTACTGACGTGCCTGGCGCGGGGGCCAGGTCCAGGTTCTGGGAGCAAGGGCTGCGAGTCGCCTCCTCCCTCGTGGCACTGGGATTCGGGTTGCGGGTTGGAGCTGGGCGCCCAGGAGCTTGATAGCGCCTGTGGGGCAAACGTGCCTCTCGAGTGCCTGGGGCTCAGCTGTCGGATGCCACGTGGAGGGAGACCGTGGGTAGGACTCGCCGTGGATGGGGTGCGGACGCATCTTGGGTGTAAAGCACCGGTTGAGAGGAGCCCCAGTGCCTCGGCCTCCCTCGGCTGCGGGGTGTTTTGCCTGTGTTGCTCGGCCTCTCTCTGACTTGCCTCTCCTCTTCTCTGCAGCCCAGCTGCAGGCGCAGAAGCTGAGGT